CTAAATCTGCCAAGATTTAACGGAATACAAAGAAATATGTTCTTATTGACAACAGCATGGGCTGTTACAAAACCTCTTGTTCAAATGCTGGACGATTATCCAACTCTGCGGATGAACTGACAAAATTCCGAAAACTATGGTGGAATCAAGGAAACATACATCCAAAGCCAAAGTAGGAAGAAGCTACGTAAGTTCCTTTTCTTGTTTTTGCTTTATGAACTAGTAATCGACATTAGCTGTCATTATTGGATACAAGTTTGTCTTATGAGCTAATGATTGGCATCAGTTGGGAGAAGCAATAATGAGCAGCAATTGCAGCAGCAGCATCAGAATCGACTACAAGAACAACAAAATCAATTCCAGCAACAGCAGCAATAGTAACAACAGCACCACTAGCAGCAGCAGCAACAACAACAAGCAATTCAAGATCAATTGAGATTAACTCGAACTTAGAAGTGAATGTTCGTGTATATGAACTTCCTTCGGCATCCCACGAGGCTGGTTGCAGTACGATTATGTGGTTATTGATTGGAGCAGTTGTTCATGTGTTGGGCACCAATGCAGATTTTTTCTTAGGAGCGCATTCGTGCATTCGCATAAATGTACGAAAGCATATTTATTCTTTTTTTTAATTAAACAATGACAAACCCGCTCGCGATTCCCTACAACAGACTCAATTACAATGACTGCAACAATATGTGTTGCAACAACAGCAGTGGCAGCAGCAACGACAACAAATCCAACAGCAGCAGCAACAAAATTTACAATTATTTTTTATTGTTACAATTTAATGTCAATAAGTAAGTGGCTGACTTTCTTGAATCTTCTAAATATAATTTTTTCTATAGTATAGTTACTTAATAGTTGGGAAAGTCAAATTGGGTGACTATAATGGGTACAAGATTAATAGATTGGAAGCTGGACCTAACTGGGAAGGCGAGAAAGGGACAAAAATGATTCGGGAATGTTGGACTTATTATGCTAAAACAATTAAAGACATTTATGTCTCTTGCTCAAAAAGTCGTCATAGAGGAGAAAGTCAGAGCGCTAAAAGTTTCAGGGTTGAGATGTATCTTTGGCTAAAAAACAAAACCAAAGAAGCAGATGGGTCTATTCGGCCAGAGGGAAGACCTTGAGCGAAAAACTCATCGATTGGGATTGCGAGTTTGTTGATATTTTTGCACGTTATTTTCCAAACAGCCTGCGATGTTATCATATAATGCCAGCCATCCGAGAATATGGGCAATAAATAACATGACAACGGAAACTTACGAAACCCTACATAATGCCAATATGGATAATGTTGGGTATAATTGTCATAGTGGTTTATAGATCATCTTTACTGGGATTGTCAAGACGTTGTTTCCACAGCAGTTATATTCTTCATTAGAGATATTAAAAAATGCGTTAAAAATTATATGAATGACAATTATCCCGAATATATGGTGTTGATAAGCAGTAGCGAATTTTTCAATAATTTCCACGGCAAATGGGCAACGCCGGTATGATTGGAGAGCATAGTGTATATAGTTCGATCGTAATCAAGTCAGACATGTATCGTCAATTGGTCGTTTACATGCTTCAAAAATGATATGGAAAGAATACGTACAAAACTTTACTATTATTCGTGGAACATCATTCCAATAAGAAAAAACATCTGTTGTATAAAGAGATTGCAAAATTAATTAAAAAATTGGTAATGAGCGTTGTATAATTTCACAAACCGATATTGATGAATTAGAAAATATATTATAACAAAAAAACAAGAATCTCATCAAGATCGTCAAACGTACCTTCTTGGTTAAAAGAAATGTGATGGACTGGTACGAAGAATTTTGACTTTGCAATTTCGATTAAATTAGCGCCAGTATGGATTCCACTAGCGTCATATCAGGTGATTCCACGTGTAATTTTATCCTGGAAGCCTACGGACAGTGTTTAATCACGTGATCTTTTCCGGGCCAGTGCCGGTCAATGCATTATCAATATTTCGCTTTGAATGCCTTTACTACGGGATGCCAGCTTCCTACACCTCCTTTACCTAATCCCATTACTATCGACCTCTATAGGATTCGAAAGGCTGTTTATTATCCATTAAATGAATTAATGATTAAGTATAGTCAGGATCACGAGAGATTGTATATTTAAGATATACTCCTATAGTTCTGATTCTTCGTGACATGTTGATATAATCTGCAAATTATTTAAAATTGAAACCATATTCTTAGTTTGATTTTAGAATGAAAAAACTGGTTCTTTTTATCTATGGATCAAAATGTGTCAACAAAGAGATGTGTCATTTACTGGAAGTTAAAATCTCGCATAATTTGTTCCATTCGTGGCAAAGCAACTTCTCCCTTGTTTGGCTCTTGCCATGCTCATAATAATAGCCTTTATGTTCATTGTTAAAAAATCACGTGAGTGTTACATTTTATAGTTAATAGCATACACACATACATATGGTTAAAAAAGATAAAGCCCGAAATGGGGCAGAGAAAAATAAATGTAAGGCGTAGTTATCGCAATAATGCGTGTTTTTTTGATTGATCAGAATAATGATTGTTGCTAGTGGGGTCGTAACCTTTTTCTCACACTAGCTAAAATAGAAATGGTTAGTAAAAACGGTTTCTGGCTCGATACAACAATGAACTCTTGATCAGTGTTACGAGGCAAATCTCACGGGATTTCTGGATCATGCGACAATTACTATAATGATAGAACCGTTCTCCACCAATTGGTTAAAATTTTCGTTGTTTTTTACTAATTAATAAATTTTCTACCACTTCGTATACCCGCTCTGAGCTTCTATCACATCACGAATTCGTTCTGGCATAGAACGAATCAAATTATTACAATAATCAACGTCAACTTCTTTCCAAACCTGTTGGATCTTTTCCCAGAGGGTCATCCTTACCCGAAATTGGCACAGATCATTTGTTATATTTGCTTCTATTTGAATGCCATAGATGCCACTTGTTTCATTATCGAATGCAATTGTCTTTGCAGAATTCAAATCAGTTGATGAATTGATAGCATCTCAATCCTTGTCTGTATAAGAAAGTTGAATTTGTTGGCGGCTTGAATTGAATAAAGGTTATTTTATTCTCTAATCAACCCATCCGGCTGTCGACGATGGTACTTTGATGCTAGCCATTATTTTTATCGATTATCAATTGAATATAAATGATTGATTGCAAGTTTAATTATTAAATAAACAGTTGCTTTTTATACAAAAAATCTCAGTAAAATACGTAACATATGTTGTACGATGAGAAGGTTCTTTTCCGTTTCAGGTTGATTTGGTTCTAGAGGTTTTGTAACAGCCCATGCTGTTGTCAATAAGAACATATTTCTTTGTATTCCGTTAAATCTTGGCAGATTTAG